GCGTTTGTATTGCTTATTTATTGTGTGTATCTAATATGTTTATTGCATGTTGATTGTTTTGCTGCTTCTTTTGGACAATATGTTGAACAGTTGGTGAGCAATTTTTGCCCAACCATTAATTCAGCACCTCCCTAAGTCAATATCTTTTGCCCAGGTGGTGGTTTCATTTTAAAAAACTGAATTTACAGTTTAATTAAGTATCTTAAGATGTTAAGCAACAAACACATCAAATAATGGAGGAGCCAAGAATGGTACACAATACACACGAACACTAGGAAAACATCATTAAAGAAGAAAAAAAAACCCGAAAGATAAGAACATAAGTGCAGACCTCACCGAAGGACCCAAAAAAAATCAGCTGCGAGTTGGAAGAGATAACTAAGAGGAGATGAGGTTAGGCAAGATGAGGTCGATGGTGGAGGTGGATTTTCTGTGAGGTTTCGCATAAGGAGGAAGAAGAAGAGAAAAAGACTAGAGAGAGAAGATGATTTGAGAGAGCAACACTGAGAAGAAAAAAAAATGATAGAGGGGCTATATGTGGCCAATAGGGAGTTTTTATAGCATTGTAGTTGGGGACATTTTTGAATGTGTTTCTATAGGAGGGCATTTTTTAATAAATTAGTGAAGTCGGGGGTAAAGCCGCCAATTCCCATGAAAGGAAATAACTCCCTTCCAATGTGGGACTAAGTGAAAGTGTATTTTCCTATACAAACTCTAACACGGTTATGAGCAGGCTCTAGGAGAAGCCATACAGGAAGCACTTAGACTTGGCCTTGTGGCTTCTCGAGACCAAGTCTTCATCACTTCAAAGTTATGGATTAGTGATGCTCACCCTCATCTTGTGATTCCTGCTCTACAGAAATCTCTTCAGTGAGCAGTCTCACAATCGGATCACAACTAATACAGATTACGTTGGTTCTTAATTTTTTTTTTCAAGCATTGGAATCTTTGTTCTGTTTTGTGCTGTTTCTCTATTGGGGATTTGTCTGTGTTTTAGTTTTTGTGTGCTATTAAGAACATTGCATATGTTCGCCAAATTTTACTGACAAACGGCGTTGTAGTGTTTGATTGATTCAAACTTGGGTTTTCTTCAAACGTTGTTTGCTATTAACAAGGTATTGACATGTAAACTTGCACATCATTTGGTAAATAAATACGGTGACTCTGACATTATATTTTAGTATTTTATATTCTTTGTACGCGTTGACTTACACATCATTTGGTGAATAAATCTGGTGACATTATATTATAGTTTTTTACGTTGTTTAGAGTCTTCTTGTCTTCGTAGTATTTCCGAAGCACCAAGTGTTGCTATTTTGGGGTTCCCTGCCTTGTACCTTCTGACCAAAACTTAAAATAAAATTTTAGGGTGAATGAGTTATAAACTACGTGCAGGAATCTTCAATTGGAGTTCCTTGACCTGTACCTCATTCACTGGCCCATCAGTGCTAAGCCAGGAACATTGGTGCATCCACTAGTTGCAGAGGACCTTATGCCCATGGACTTCAAGGGTGGGTGGGAAGCCATGGAAGAGCCATGGAAGAATGACAGAGACTTGGCCTCACCAAATTCATTGGAGTCAGCAGTTTCTCTACCAAAAAGCTTAAAAATGTACTCTGTTTCGCTACTATTCCTCCTTCGGTGAATCAAACGAGTCCATTTATTTCCTAGCATGGGTAATGGATTGTTCTGTTTCTATACATGGAATGGTTTACAACGTTTTTGAACAAATAAAATTTTAGTTTGTGAGTCTATGTAAGTGGTGTGGATATTTTGCTGGTGGAGATGAACCCATTTTGGCAACAGAAGAAGCGTAGAGATTTCTGCAAGGCCAATGGTGTAATTGTGACTGCCTCCTTTGGGTGGCATAGGGTCCTTTTGGGGCAGCAATCATGTTTTGGAAAGCGAAGTTCTTCGAGACATTGTTGAGGCTCGGGGAAGGACTGTTGCTCAGGTAATGTTCTACTACATTAACATTCTGGAGAATCACTTCTACAACATTACACAAACGAAACTATATTAAAATAGGCAAAACGTCACTTTTAGTCTATGTGGTTTATCAATTTTACCACTAAGGTCTCTGTGGTTTCAATTTGATCACTTTTGCCCCTGTGGTTTCATTTTGAAGCAATTAGAGGACAATCCTTAATTTCTGTTAAATTCTTCTAACTTCTGTTACTTATTAAGGGGCAATTTGGTCCAAAAATTATTAAACGATTTCTTCCTTTTTAAAATAAACAATATAAATATAAATTTCTTCCTTTGTTATGTTAATTGTTGCAAGTCAGTATCCTCAATTTTTCATTTCCTTTTTTGTTTTTACTTTAAGGCTGAATGGGGAATTCTAACTTGAGATCTCTTCTAACATTGAGACATTTAGGGAGACATTTACATGGTTCTCTACATGGGACAACACAAAATTTGGAGATAGTATTGATGGTTGTTGCCTTTTGAGTTAGATGAAGTTGTTTAAGGCTTGCAGATTTCAAGGGGTTAATTAGATGCACTTAATGTCCTCGAGCCGGGAGGACACAAACACTAGCCGCTTTCTTTGAGTTCCAAATAAAAACTCAATAGAGAGGAGAAGAGGAAGAAGCGTCGCTACCCCTCCTTCCTTCTCCTCTCTTCTTTCTTTTTCTTTCGAGTTAGTGAATAAGTTCACTGGGCCGTTTTGAATAGAGCCTTGTGGTGATTTCTTTTGAGCGATGCTCAGATCAAAGTTCCCCAACAATTCTTTTGGCCTAATTCCTCAATCAAATCCTTTTCCTAAAACCCTCTCTCATCTTTGCTAAATTTACGTCAACCTCACATTTGAAGGAGTTTATTGCAATACCCGATTGGTCTGTGCTATGATTGTTCAATTGGCATAGTTGTTCATTGTTATGCCCAGTTGGATCAATGGAAACCTTGTTTACCCTAGCTATGTCAAAGGGATGCGGTGGTTGGTTTGAAGGCAGTGCTTGTTCAGGTGGTAGTAGGATCCATTATTTGCTTAAAGACTAGGTGAGGCAGTGGGTTTGACGGCGGTGCTTGTTTAGATGGTGGCAGTAAGGTTCAGGTATAGGATCATGTGTTGTATTAAGGTTCTAGTTATGTTTGATTTTGTAGGTTTTATTTGAGATTATGCTTAATTATAGTAATGTGGGCTAGTAATTATTGGTGTGTCCCTCGAGCTTGTAATATTGTAGCTCATGAACTTGCCTTAACATTTGGTTGGAAGCAAAGTCTCCTTCGTTAGTTACCGAAAAAAAAAAAGTAACGTTAAACAACCCCAAAATTAATTAAGTACACCTTATAATCTAAATATACCCTAATATTTAAATCAAAAGTAAAATTAACTAAGAACACCCTATTTAACTACCAAAAATACCCCTGGTACACCCTAATACACTCTAACACAGAACACCAAACCCATTCGAGAGCTGACTACTGAACACTATCAAACCACGAAACCCACCTCTCCAAGATCCATCTTGGATCCCCTCAGGCAAAAACACTTTACGCTTCTCTCCCCGTCTCCCATCTCACAACATTTCTATTATCATCCACCACATGTTCGGCCAAAAAAAAAAAAAAAAAATCCACCACATAGTAGCTGTACTCACATTTGAATCCTTTCGGAACAGGGACTATCCCAAACCATATGAGCTTATCAACATGATGAACAGGGCTCAATAACAAACCCTTCTTCAGATTCCATGAACCAAGCACCGGTTCAAAGCCGCATACGAGCAGGCTTTGGCCCCAATGATTATAATATGGTATTTTTGAAACTCGAATGCACTGGCTTCGTAATTTGGTTCCGGATAAAAATATCCTAATTCCACCATTTTTCTTGAAAAATTGATAAAACCCACATCAAATATCTCAATTTCAGGTATACGCAATTGTAATTTGTTAGTGTACATAGAGAAAACATTCCCAAAGAATATAAATAAACCAAAAATAGCAAACTTCTAATTATGAGGATTGAGATTCTCTTTGGTAGTAGGGTGTGTTGGAGTTTGAAAGCCAAATGAGAAACTTTTATCCCACATTGAAAATCAACACTTCTATGAAGGTATTTATAAACAAATCACTATATTGGTTTGGTAAGTGTAGTTAACTTTGGAGAGTTGGGTTAATGGGACTTGGCTTTGGATTTATTTTATTATAATAATAATCATATTAATCCAAGACTTGGGCCTTCTTGGGCTCTGTAGAAAGAGGCGAAATTCTGTCGTTAGGAAATTGCCAATGCACAAGCCTCTATATGAAAATAAAGTCAATGTTATATAGTAATCCAATAATATAAGCTATTTATTTATTTTTCCTAACAGAGTGTACTCAGTTAATTTTAGGGTTCGTTTTGCAACACTAAGAATAATCTTTTGACAAAGAGAGAACGTCATCTTTAAGATGATTCAAAAGCATTCTTTTGTAGACGTGGGTTAGGCTAGTTGGCAAGGACAATGATCCCTTGCACCTAAGTTCCAAATCTAACTCCTCGTAAATTAGAGAGTAATTTAAACTATCACTTATATACATTTTTTTTTTTAAAACAGCATTTTGACCTGTCAGATAACCACTTGGTCTACTAATCACGTGGTGATTTAAAAGTGGATTACGGACCACACAAGCTTATTTCAAAAGCATTCAATCATAAAACAATTTCACATACATGTCAGGCGTAATGTTATTAATCTACTCAAATTATAGGCATAAATAAGTTTTTGGATAGATATGTTGCTACCATCCACCCAAATTATAACCATATCGTAGCTTTTCGGATTTAGCGGCTGCTAACTGTACTCATCTGGTTAAAGAAAGCTTATGTTTGGAACCATCAGATTCATCACCCAGAAGCTGACCAATACAAATCAGTACCGAAACAGATCAGCAAAACCGGCTTCGGAAACATGACCACTAAAAATAAATAATCTCATAAAAATAGCAATTGACTGTGTCTAATTTCTATTTCCCTCGTCACTTTTACTGAAATGAAATCGTAACTATGAATTCGGGCTTAATTTTCTGAAACAATAACGTGAGATAAATGGACAACTTCTGCCTATAAAATGGGAGAGTTTGTCCTGGCTTGTATTATCTAGAATAAATTTTCAGGTTGGATTCAAAATTCCTATTCCGACCAATTTCAATAAGAAAACAAAAACAAAAATGGCAAAGTCTGTTGGTTCCAGTACCACAATTGTTCTACTCATTGCTTTCCTTCTCATTGCTTCCTTGGGTGAGTAAGCTTCCAACCTCTCTTTCGATTCCAACCTTTATTAACTCAAAAAGGTTAATTTCATATGATTTCTTCCACTGCAAGAAACTTTGAATGATTCTATTACTTATGATTTTTTTTTTATCCGACTATGAATATTGAACTCGAGTCATCTTTCAAAAAAAAAAAAGATTAGGTGCAACTTTGTAAGTGACTATTTTAGTTTAGTAGTTTTTCATGGCAGTGGTTAGTTTTTAGTTTGAAATTTTGTATTACTTTCAAATCCAAGCGTTTTCCTCCATCTTTCAAATTTCTTTAGGTGCCATTTAGACAAGAAATAAAGGGAGAAAGCAAATGAATTTCAAATGATTACTGCCTATACTCATTTCAAATGTACTACATTCTAATAGGGTAATTGTTTTTCTAACAAATTTATCCTTATTGTCAAATCGAAATCCTTTCTTTCAAATCCCTCCATCCAAATAGAGCCTTACAGTGCGTTTGGATGATGAAATTTAATAGTACAAAGGATTTCATAAATGATAGAATTTAAAATGACGGAAATTAATGTTCTATAATTTTTAACGTTTCTTGTTTGGGTGATGAATTTAAAACACGGAATTTAACCTTTATTTGTAAAGTTATTTTTTAAAAAACTCAATATCTCTTGGGATTTTAGAAAGAGTAATGCTACACTTACCACATTATATATCCCACATTTTCATACCACCTTATGTGTCAGATGAAGTGGACAATCACATCAATTAAAAAGTGTCAATAAATCATAAAAGTTAAGAAAACTTTAAATTAATTTTAATTGATGTATTGTCCACCTCATCTGCCACATAAGGTGGTATGAGAATGTGGTATACAAATGTGGTAAGAGTAGCATTATTCTTTTAGAAATGACGACTTTTAGATAGAATTTAAAGTTTGGATTTATGATCTCCAAATTCCATGTTTTTTCTCATGTGGAATTTCTAAATTTCTATGTTTTTTTTTTATCCAAACAAGGAAATTGGTTCATGTCAATTTAGAAATTTTGAGTTTTGTCAAAATCTCAAGTTTATTTCCTTCATCCAAAAGCACCGTTAAAGTCTTTAACCAAATAAGAGAGGCCTAGGATTTCAAATAACGCATCTGATTAAAATCAAGCAATACCAACACAAAAGCATAATTCAAATTTTAACTTGGAATTAAAATTTTATTACCAAAATTGTAAAACGGTAGAAATTAGTAGGTAATCTTCTACAGATTTTTTTTGTATTTTTTTTCTAGAAATGTGATACAAACTTGGTCTTATATATATGGGTGGTAATGTTAATGTACAAAAAGAAAAAAAAGCGTTGTAAAAAGACACTAAGTTTGTTTGTGGTATATATAGCGGTGCCAGTGGTAGAAGCAAAAGGAGGAAGGGGATGCAAGCAGGCGAGCAAGTTGTTTCCAGGCCCCTGTAAAGACCACTCAGAATGTAACAAAAAATGCAGAGAAGCAGAGAAGGCAAAATCGGGTCTTTGCCGATCTGAGGGGACCAAAGGCAAAAAATGCTTTTGCTACATGTGCTAATTATTCTTACAAGATAGCATTGCTCTGTGGGGGCTTGGAACTCTTGATTCATTGAGAGCATTTTTCACTTCACTCACGGCCTAAATTCGAATCTCCACTCTCCCTTTACCTTGTTTGTAACTTCAGAAACAAAAAGTTTACTGGATGTTTGTGTAATTTGATTCATAAAATACTTTTGAAGTTACTGATCAAGAAATACAAATTTAAACAATAATATTCATTCATGTAATTTTTGCACTTTATAACAATTTTAACTTCATTTAATATATATATAGAGATAAAGGGCTTATAGATGAAAAATTATAATGTACGATCATAATACCACATAGCATGTGCCGATGGGGTATTACAAATTCGTCAAAGTTATAACATGTTAGAGTGTATTTCTTGGTAAAATTAAGGCTTGAAGAGGGGAAGGTCAAGAATCGAAGCCGGGTAAATGCTAGACAATAGCTTGAACTAATAGGTCCAATTTGTTAATTGTCCATAATTTTCCATCAGCTTGGTTAACTACATCAATTCTGTATCATGCCTTCATCATCTTCGTTAGAAACATAATATTCTCTCTTAATGTTATTGCCTATTTTCCTTCTGAACTCACATGTTTTTGTCTATATTTCACGTACGAAATAATACAACAATTAACCACAAGGTGTTGTGCAATTGGCAAACTGCCACATCCAGCTGGCAAGTTACTTGGTATCTCAATGGTAGGGATTCGAAACTAGTTAGAAGCACTTTGTGGCCAGGAGCAAGCTAAACCCTGAACGGGAATTAATCCCACTCTTTGAGTGTGGGGACACCTCATGCTATTTACCAAATAATACAACAATTATTTCTTCAAACCCTCTTCGGACCTTAGGCAGCACTCCAAATGATGATTCCCATTCGGTTGACTGGATCTTACTACTCTTCATTGACCATATATTATAGTTTTTGCATTTAAAGTAAAACCAATTCAAAAAATTTTAAAAAATAAATTATATGGAAGGATGTTTTTGTACAAATATGGGAAAAAAATTGAGGCGAATTTTGCTTCTTTGCATTGAGCACATTAGTAGTTTCCTTCTAATGGCCTTAAATACACCATAACAGGATAGATTTAATTAAAAATATATGATATATGGTAGGAATTGAAAAAAAGAAAGGAGGGATTTTGCTCCTCTACGTCTACCATATTTGTATGTTTTTTTTCCTCTAATGGCGTCCGATATAAACAGCATCAATTTATAAAATAAAAGATAAAAGATAGATACTTAGGATTTGGCACCTCTTGATGCCCTTGTTTAACCTTGTAGAACCCACTACTCCGCCTATAAAACTTACCCTATTTCTGTGTTGGCATGTGCAAAAACCCACCTTTGTCCAAAAATAAATTCTTGGCTTCAGTATGGTGCCTGAGGGGTATGAAACCCAAGATGAAAAGGAAGATGATACCACTGCTAGAGTGCCTAACTACTGTTCAAATCATCGAATCAATGACTTACCAGAGGTACAACCTAGTTTTCCATCATTTTGTAAGCAGCTCTTGCTGAATATATAGATAAATTTGGATGAAAAGACCATATACAAATGGTAGATTTGATTCATCAAACACAAGATGCGTTAAAATGTGCATGGAATCGAGTTATCACATACTCTGAAGAATGTATAGAATCGATATTGTAGCATCAAAACACAAATCCGCTTTTTTTCTTCAATACATGTAGCTTTT